AATAATTGTAGTTATTAATTATTTTTATCAATCAAATTAAATAAAATCAATATTTTTAAAGATAATATTTTACAATTTTACTGACCATAACATTTTTGTTAGTAATGACCATAACTGAATCAATATCTTAATTTAATTAGACAAAATATTTTTTTTCTTCCCTTCCCTTGCCCTCTATATTTCTCTTAAGTCTAACAGTCTCTTAAACCCAAAAATTATATGGTTTTTAATCTTCACCTTTGTTTTTGACTCTTTTTCTTTTAATAAGTAATTACAATTCATAACATATCTCAGTATGAGATCAATCAAATCAATCAATATAAATTTGGACTAGATCTGTATACAATAAGATTCAAACCTTAGAACTTAAAAAGCCAAAGCCATGTACCTCCACGTTAATTGCAAGGCTTTTTTTTTTTTTTTTTTGAACATAGAGGAAAACTTTTTGAGGGAAGGAGGAAATTCTGAAACAATTTTTTTTCTTTTTAAGGCGTTCTGAACAACTTGTTAAACCTTATTTAAAGCAAGGTTAATTAACTACGAGGTTTAAATGCGGAAAACTTTATTGCCTTCGTGTGCGCGTGCAACAATAGACCCACAGACATTAATTTGCTCTCGATTATACTCTTAACTACTCTAACATTATTATAATACTAGGTAGGTATTATGTCCTCTAGGGGAAGTTTTAGTGGTTATATAAGAATTTGAGTTTTACATTGAAGATCTTAAATTTAAATTTTAGAATGAATGAGAAAAATTTTGAAAAAAAAAAAGGACTAATTTCTATTATATAATTCATTATCTGATATATAAAAAAACTAATACTATGTATTAATATATAATTTGTACCAACAATTAAAGCAGGTTAGTTATAATTTCCCATTCAAGGTGGAGCAAGAGATTCCAAATTTTAGTCTCTCCTCCAACTGGAGCAAGAAGTCTTACGTTCATGTCATGAGCACACATATGAAGTAAAAGAATAAAAGAAGATTATTTTTTATTATTTAATCTAAAATAAAAAAATATTACTATATATTATCCATAATATTACTTATTAACCATGCAGATATGACCTTTCAAAAATTATTGAGGATTATTTATTCATGCCTTATTATTATATATTATAGTATAGTACGTCTTACAACCATAATTAATTTAATTACTTATGGATTAAGTACGTAATCGTCAAATTTTGTCCATGGGGAATGTCTTTCTCAAAGGTCGTCTTATACAACCTCTCGTGCTAACCACGCCTGATTATTTTACTTTTATTAAATTACGAAGAGATGGAACAAGCGTCTGTGTGTTTGATTTTTGTTTTGGAAATATATTCTAGTGGCGCTCCCTGGTTTAGCACTCTCTCTTTATCTTTTTGCATGTCATCTTACGTTTTGTGGGCTCGTCTGGCAGGTTGCAAATTCATATAGTCTTAAAGAAATGATATATGTATCATAAAGAGATGTGGAGTGTTGAAAATTTAATAATTAATACTTGTCTGGTAAGTGCTGCTGCTGGTATGTCTTTGTTTTTCTACGAAGAATAAAGAATAATTGGTGGATAATTTTTTATACAATTTTTAATATAATTATATATATAATTTTATCTATTATTTAATTAATAATATTTTTATTCATAATTTTATATGTATTTATTGAGTAATTTTTTATATAATTCATTAAGTAAAAATGATATGTGTCTCATCGAACAACTCGTCTGGTAATTGCTGGTAGTATATCTTTATTTCTGCACGGAAAATAATAGAGTAAACAAAAAAAAATGTTTTATATTTCAAATTATGATTAAAATTATGATTTGTTTTATAAATTCATTAAAATGTTTTTAATGAAATTATTTTTTATATTATTTTATTAAAGATATTTTTATAAATTTGTAAGGTAAACTATATTTTTAATATATAATTTGAATCATATTACATGAATCTCTTAAGTAAAGTAATTTTTTAAGTATAATATCATATACCATTTAATGATTGATAGTTTTTACTCATAATTTTATGTTTGATTTAGTTATTAAGAAATACAATAATAATATTTTTATTTTTTAATTGAATGAATAAAGAAATTTAAATTATATAACCATGAATAAAAATTTATTTACACACAAACTTTAAAAATTACACTTATATAAAATTTTAATCATTTTTTTTTCACTTTTAATGGTTAAATTTTATTTATATTTATTAAAAATAATTATTTTTTGTTTAAAATTTATAACAAATCTTAATTATTGAAAATAAAAAATTTAATAGTTAAAATTTTATATAAATATAATGTATAAAATTTATTACTTGTCAAACATAATAACAATAATTTACATCATTAAATAAATATATATATTAATTCATACATTTTATAGTTCGGTAAAAAGAATTTATTAAACTAATTGTCACGCAGGATTCTGAGCCAATTGTATGTAAAGATTGTGTATATATACAGTTTTTTTTTTTTTTTTTGACTTCTCTTTTTTTTAAAATTTAATACTAGGACGCGTGCTTGAAGGTGGACCTTAGGCGTCATGGAAAGCACCAAGTTTTTGATACTCTGAAAGCAATTAATTAATTATTGATATATAATTCGAGGTTTTAACTAATAAATTACTAATAAATCTATATGCTTTATTCAATGATTAACATTGCTGTCAAGAGAAAATTTTTATTATTGTATTGATATCCTTTCATTCACGTCAGTTCATTGGATTACAGCAGAGCCCATATAATATGGTTTGATTTTTCTTTCGCCTAAAGGATACAATATGGTTTGACATCAATTTTTTTTTTTTTTTATTGGCCAACGACATATCATTAGTTTTATAGTATAAGAGATTTATTTATTATTATTATTATTATTTTGGTATTGACTAATATCTTTTTGAATGATTTTAATGTCATATCTCTTATATCAACTTAATGTGTTTAAAGAAATTAATTTTTTAAGGGTTATCTCTAACATTTAAACCTTGAACTTTCTTTTTTTAAATGATAGTAAATCTTGAATTTGATAAATTATCAGATAAATTATTAGACAACACTTATTTATCAGTAGAGTTTATATTCGTTTTTTTTTTTTATTGTTAAACAGGATAATTTGGGAGAATGAAGAATAAGATTCATAAGATTTGAAGACGCAATTAATAAGAGGTGATCCCCACTTAATTAAAAATTTTGGCAACTAAGCCAGGACTTGAGGTCAAGTTTAAACTCTTTTAAGGTTAGTTCTAGTGTAAGAGATTAATTGAATGAAAACGCCATCGAAGATGAAAGCATTGTTTGATATATCATTGGGTTATTGCAGCTACAAAATGTTAGAAATAGCAAACAATCAATACAACAGCAGTCCTTAATAAGAGTCTTAACCGGCCCATGGGAGTAAATTTTTCGATCTGTGCTATGACCTAGCCCATCTCTTAGGAACCCCCAAACCAAAACTGGTCCATTTCCATTACTTTGTTTGCAAGTAATTCTCTCTTTCTCTGGAAGAGAAGTGCAAGGGACCTCTTTTTTGGACACTCCTTTCGTAAGATGGAACCATAAGTAATCCATAAATTTGATGTGATTAGTTATAAGTGATTGATATTATAATTAATAATTTTAAAATTTAAAATTATATTAAATTTTTGTATCATATGATTTAATTAAATAGAGTGCATTTATTTATGAAATTATAACAAGTTAAGATATCTATTGCACTTAATATATTTCATTTTCTTGCTCTAGAAATACAGCATCTTTTCAGGAATATCATAATTTAGATTGTAATTTTGTTGAGTATTTACTGTTTATGCCAATTAAAGACATTTCTCTTATCAACCCACCATAAGAATCGGATGGATGGACAAGCATGCAAAATTCGTTCTGCACCCTATACAGTGCTTGTCATGAAACTTTTCTGTTTCACCAACCATTTTTCTGCAGTTTAACAATGCTTTCATGCTCGCTACCATACAACGCAGACGACGTAATGACACTATAAATTTCCTTCATTTAACAATTGGAATTTGTGTAGCACTAGCCCCATGAACTGATTGATCTCTCACCACTTCATTCTTCCTCTTAACTTCTTGTTTATTGCAAACTTCTTCATCCGCCAGCCACCTATCATGAAAAAACACGATGATGGATACCGTTAGCTGCCTTCCATGGCTTAAATTGTATCCTAGTACATCGGATGTTCTCGAGTCTCAATAGTTTAAATACACAATGTATAATAGTAGAAGACTCTCCCCCTTGGTTACCATGTCATACAGACCCCACGTACTACAACCAGATGCAACGGAACAAAATCACGTTTGCAACATGAGAAAAGCAAGGTAATGGTACCTTTGGTGGCACAATAGTCTTTGGTCTTGGAGGAAATTAAGCCCTTGTCAATGACAGCGTCTGCAAAAGGTTTTCATCTTCCTCTTCAAGTTTTCCATAGGCTTTTGCGGGTACATGACAACACCATTGTTAGTTTCCATTTTGTTACAGAATATATTTGGGTCAATGTCAAGTCCCTTCTCTCCAACACCAATGCCTTTGGCATCGACGTAATAACGACCCCCAAATCTAGAGTGTTTAATATACTTCCATCTAGGTTCCACTGCCTGGAACGGTTAGGAACGAAAATGTTACCAATTCAGTAGGAGAACCTTAAACCAAAAAAAGCTTATTTATTTGAAAAGACATCATGAGTTCATTTTGTGGAGAACATTCGCTGCAAGGGAAGCATTGAATCCATACAAGGACAATGCCAGTGTCCATAATCATGAATTGTACAAAAATTTTGCTACGTGCAACTTCTCATATCTACGAAGATTTAGAACTAGGTACACTATCATTTGCTGGCGGTAAAGCTCTTTTGAGTTTTGATGGCATCTGCTGAAGTTTTACGTATGATGTTCTCTTTTGGATTGTAATATGGTATTTCAATTAATTCCTTTGTTATTGAACTAGTGATCAATCAATGAAAGCAACTAAGAGTTGAGATGAAAAGCATATGACTTGATATTCTGTGGTTTTATGGAACACTTGGAAGCAAAACTGCTCACTTATCTTTAGATGAGAAATTAGAGCTGAGTGACATTTCAATTTCCTCAAGAGAACGTCCTTTAGTTTCGATAATAAAGTAATAGGCAAAAAGAGCTGATAACAAGGAAACACCTCCGAAAGCAGCATAAACTGGAGCAACTCCAAGAGTCTCTACCAGGTCAAGGAAGAACAGCCCCACCAAGAAATTGCAGACCTAGAACAGAAAGTGTGATAAGCGAAGCTGGATTTTGAACTCAACAGCAGCATTATGAAGTGGAAAAATTGTATATCACGAAACACTACAGCATTAACTAACATTCTACAGCAGGTGCAGCATGAATTTGATGTCTGTTTTACTAGCCAATGCATGTTGCAATTTTTTTTTTTTTTTTTTTTTGAACAGCACATGCTGCAAATATTGCGTTGAAAACATAGGCAACTAAATAAAGTTGAACATAAATATATAATTGCGTACCCAATGGACAGAGAAACTAAATCCCATGATCTTTCCGCGTGTCCTGTTGCTACTCAGCTCTGGTATAACAAGACCAGTTACAGGGCCCGCACCAATAGCAAAGGTAAAAATGTACCTATGTATAAGAATGCATTCAAAAGATATGGCATGAGTGTAACACTTTCAAAGATCAGTAAGCTTATGCTTCTCAGATTTGCAGACCAGATAAAAAACTCAGCCAACAAGCTTATGCTCTTCTTAGGCATTCAACAGACAATCAGAGGATTCAGAGCAGAGCCGCAAGTATCTCCAATTCTCATGATGATTTAGTTAGCAGTCAAGATGTCTTTAAATTAACTTTGAATGTCCAACCCCATAACAAAAAGGGAAAAAATTAAGAGCAACCAAAACAACTTAGTAACTTACATGAGAGTTCCTAGAATTGACAAGTTGTGGCTGAAATCTTCATCCAATGGAAAACTGATAGCATAAACAACTAGAAACATTGAAACTGCCTGCAGAAACAGAGTTTGTATCCTCAGCAGTATGGCAATAAAAGATTTATTAATATATTATACAAAATACAATAAAGACATAGTACTAAAATTTTCATTTTCTCACCATTCCCAAGTAACTTCCAATCAGAAGCTTCTTCCTTCCTTGTCTATCAATTAAGAAAGATGCACAAAGGGCACCTTGTGACATCAACCAATTAACAAAGCATAAGATGTTTGAAACAAAAAGAGACAGATTTATATTCAAAAGCCAAGAGATAGACATAGAGTGTTGCATTTCAAACCTGCAAAATTTGTAAGTCCAACAAATAAACTTGCCAAAGCGCTATTTGAAATTCCAACATCATGAAAAGTCAACGATGAAAAATAAAGAACTCCATTTATTCCAGCAAACTGTTGGAGTGTGAAAAGGGCACCTCCAGTGAATGTAACTGCAACCAAGAATTGTTTACATATCAGAAATGTTTCTATAGGATAGAAGCTGAGTAAAGATAATTAGGGACAAATATAGAGAAAGAGGTGGGAAAGAGATGAAGCAGGAGAAAGAGGAGAAAGAGGAAAAGGTTTGACAAAATATAGCTATTTGGGTAGAGAATCAGAGAAAAGTTATATGAAAAGCTCCAATACTGTTGGAAATTTAAAAATTACAGGAAAAAAAAAACACATAATTGGCATGCAACCTGAAGTATGATGCCATATGTATATTTAATTAATGCCAGTCTACTTAAAAAGTCAATAGTAGGGATTTTTTTTCCTTTTTGGGCCATTAAATCCTAATGGGGACCGGCTTGATACCATACAACCTCGGGAATGTGGCTCCTCTATGAGTTCCAACCATCTACTATCCAAATCACTACCATCAGTCTTAATAACTGACTTGAATTCTTCAATAGCTTTGTCAACTTCAGATTCTCCCCAAAGTTTCCGGATAATTTCTTCAGCAGCATTCTGACTTCCAACCTATAAAACCCCGACAGATAGCATATCGATAAGAGGGATCAAGAAGGAAAACTTCTAGACTTTTGCGTCAATAGTTGAAATGAGGATCATACTTTGCATAGCCAGCGGGGGCTGTCCACAGCAAACTGCATTCCAAGTCCAATAATCAATCCAGGAATACTTGCTACATAGAACATTACCCTCCACCTGGGAAATATAGTTTTGTTAAACTCTTAGCAGGTTTAATAAACAAAATCTAAGATCTGGAAGTCAATTTCCACATCAAACGGAACAAGGAAATTGCTTGGCTAGAAGATTCACCAACAGTATAAATAATAGGCATTCCAGAGGCACACAAATCAAAAATCCAGTTGTTTGAATGAACACAAAATGTTACTGTAGCGAACAAGAAAAGCTACCAAGGAAATCAAGCCTAATTGAGCAGTGCCATGAGCTAGGAAGCTTGAAATGGAGCTTGAGTTTGATTTAAAAAATTCATTAAATCAGAGTACAGTTCAGGTTGGTTCATTAAACAATATAAGTGCGTTTAAGATTGAGCTTGTAGAATGATAATGACATTTAAATATTCAGTGAGGAAACCAGTTCACATTCAAGCTGACTACTTTAAGACTTTAAATTCAATTGACAAACTAAGAAGTAAACTGGAACTGGTTAAATGGTCAAAATGAATGAGCTAGCTGGACTTAGCAAGAAGAGCCCATTCTATTTGTCAGTGAAATTTGGGGAAATTCTAATCAGGCATTATCCACAAAGATGAGAGAAATTAAAAAATAAAAACTATTTTAACATGCATAATTATTAAGTTTCACAGAGACTGATCCACAAGATTCACTGTCTAATCAAGATTTAAATGATCAAGGCAGCCATTGTTTTTTCAGGCCAAAAGTCAAAAAAAAAAAAAATAGTATCTCCCTATTGAAAATCTACTGAGCAGTAATAAGAAACAAGAAGGATGAGTACAACCCAGGTTCTGGGAACTCACCAGTGAGGGTTGTCTTCTGCAGGTATTCCAAGAAATAATGACAGTATAATCCCAAGGCATGTACCAATTTGACACAATGTTCCCAGTGTTCCCCTATATTTTGTTGGAGCAACCTACACAAATAAAAATAAACATGTAAATGATAAAGCTGACAACAAGCAAATGGGACTAGTAATTTCCATATCTTCTCTCCCTATGCCACATTGGATAAAATTTTTAACTTACAAACTTCAACACCAAGAATAACAATATTAAAACCTTAGATATAAACCACACTTTAGTCTTTAGGGAGGCTGGTGGAGAATATCCAGTGATGAGATTGATGACTAATAGATGCTGTTAGCCTGTTACCGTATGGTGCATCGGACCTCAAAATCCCTTTCCAGCCAAACATGTTTGCAGCAGTTGTGGATGACAACACACTTATAGTGAATTCGCATCCATCTATTCCTTGTACTTAACAGATGCAAGGTAGAATAAAGAGCAAATGAAGTGCCTAATATAAACATGAAAACAAAAGGTGTACAGAGGAGCTCCAATCATTTCTGAATATAAGAAATTCAAGACAATGTGAGTACTGACACATACACTGAATTGTGATACTGCAGCATTTCACATACATGCTATGAAGTAAGTACCTCTGAAATATAAATTGGAACAAGAACTGTGTTGACACCAATGCCAAGTCCAACAAGAAATCTTCCCAACAATATTTCCTCCAAGGTGTGCGCTTGTGCACTGTTTCAATTTAAATAGAATAAATAAAAAATAATTTTTTGAATACAAATACAGATCAAGATAGAAGCCACAACATATAACTACAAGCAATTGTAGAACATATAAAATTTGATATCTGTGATCCATAACAACAAAACCGGGTGATAGCCACATAATTAAGGACATATGGTCAGTACAAAAATATACAATAGCAATTGAAAAGGGCGAACATTTACTCCAATGACTAATTGCTAGAAGAGGAGAGCTATGTGTACTTGGCAAGCTGCCAAGTGTACAAGCACTTGGGGCCAGCACTCAGGCCCCGATTGGACCAAGTGCTTTTTTTTTTTCATATTTAAATTTTTTGAAAGAAAAAATGCACCTGGGCCAATCAGAGGCCGAGTGCAAGCTGCACCCAGCACATTCCCTTGCTAGAATATCATGTGACAAAACAAAAAAATTGTTCTCTTTCATCACCTAATTATTAACCACAAACATTTGTGATATACACAACATAAACAAGAAAACGGTTTCTCTAAAATCTAAGTTGGGATTGAAAACGTAGAAATACATCTTTGGATTAGAAAATAACTTAACAAGACATGTTATTTGTTCATGTTTCTGATGGGTGACCATTTGCAAAGATGATGTTCTGCAGATACCTCAGTTGGGATGGGAAAACATAAAAAAGAAATGAAATTTTAAATGATTAATATATGGTTGAAAACACTCCAGGAACCATTCATATCATTCACGAAAATTTTGACCACCTTTTAGTCCCACTTAGCACTGTTAAAAACTTAACATGGTTTAAATATACACGATTGCATCTGGTTACCTCAAAATTGCACCAAGAATCAATGGTATTGTGTCCATCTGAAAAGTTCGCCGAAAACCAAATTTGTCTGCTAGTGTACCAGAGCTTATGCTTCCAACAAAGGCTCCACCAATGAATATGCTAACCACAAGCCCCTCAAGAATTGGGTTCCCTTCAAAACCAAGTTCTCGTGCAATGGAAATAATGGGACCATTCATTACTCTGCAAAACAAGCATAACAAGTCATGAAAGGTTAACTCTTAAACAAATGAATCATACACTCCATTTCATGCTTTCAGACCCAATCAAGTAAACGATAAGAATCAATTGAGTAATTGAGCTGAATTCCTTTTGATAAGAGTTCCATTCCACAGTGAAAAGGAAAAACAGGGGACTAACCCAATATGATAACCAAATAGAAGATTGTACATGGAAGCTACCAAGACGTGAGGGAAAGCAGGCACCCATCCCAAATCCAAACCTCCACTGTCGCATTTTTCTTGTATTGAAAATTTCTCTCTCTCTATTGAATCTACAACAAGATCACAGATAATTAGCAAGCATACAAGCATATTTTGCATCGATCAAGTAAGAACAACTTAATTACCAGTTTCCCGAATCTTTAGCTGCTTCTTGACCGCCAAAGCTCGGAACTTTACCGGCCAAAACCGGAAACCGAAACGGAAAGTTTCTGTTTTCCGCAAGGAATAGCAAGAGAGTTTAGGGTTTTGACTAGCAGCAATAACCGGCGGAGGCGAAGCAAACCGTTGCGGTCGGTGAAGCCCGACGGCCATCAACATCGTATCAAAAACAGGAGGGAAATCGGAAAGGGCCAGACGGAGGGGAATAAAAACAAAAAGTAGATTTTGATGGAAATTAGTAACGGATAAGGATAAGTTTTAACTCCGTCAGTTGACCGCTGACGTATTTAACAACCTGCTGATGTGTTTAAGGCTTATGGGATGCTTGGATGAAATGATGAAAAATTGTTTAATAATATGGATTATTATTTTAAATTCTAAAATATTAATTTTTAAATGAAATAAATTCTTAAATATTATGTTTGAGGTAGAGGAGGGGATGAGACGAAAAAAAGGCACGTTACTTTATTTTTTTAATTAATTTATTTATTTAAATGAAGGAAGGAGAACCCAAATATTCTAGTTAACCAAAAAAAAAAAAGAAAAAAGATTCTAAGTTAATTTGGTGGTGATGCCATGATATATATATATTTTTTAATAGTTACAATTTGGGGTTGGGGAAAAGAATATTTGCAAGGCATTACTGTAGTTCAAATTTTGGTATCATGTACTAATTAACTAATTTATAAGGCATGATTCATCACGATAATTGTTAGATATTGCTTTTGAAAAGAAATGAGACATAGATATCAAATTTTCCATCATTTTCAATTATTTTTTAATTTAAAATAATATTTTTTTTTGGTTTTTTTAGATAAAGAATTTGTAAGCAATTTTTAATTTAATAAAATAAATTAACAAATCCAAAAATAATAAAAAATAATGATGTTTTGATAGTCAAGTCCTTTTTTAACTATATATAAAG